ACACATTATGTACTTAGATTGTTCGTGTCTTCCTCTGGACTCCTGAGGGTAATTCTTTTATTTTACATAGATCTTCACACATTTTTTGCCAAACTCACTTCCCTTTGCTATTGTGGATGGAATCTTTTATTGCAATTATAATTTCCAACTAGTATTTGGAAAACTATCATTTTTTTTTATTTATTATGTTTTATACTTCTTAGTATTATATGCCTGAAAAATTATTTGAAAAAAATTGCATTCATTTTGTAGGTTAAAAAGTCAATTATGTTGCCCTAGCTGGTGTGGCTCAGTGGATTGAGTGCTGGCCTGTGAACCAACGGGTTGCTGGTTCAATTCCCAGTCAGGCACATGCCTGGTTTGCAGGCCAGGTGTCCAGTGAGGGCATGCAAGAAGCAACCACACATTGATGTTTCTTTCCCTCTCTTTCTCCCGCCCTTCCTCTCTCTCTAAAAAGAAATAAATTAAAACTAAAAAGTTGATTGTATCACCCTGCGCAGGTGGCTGGTTCACACGGGTAGTGCATCATCCTGCTGCACTAAGGTTGTGGGTTCAATCCTTGCTCAGGGCACATATAAGAAAGCGGTGTGTGTGTGTGTGTGTGTGTGTGTGTGTGTCTCACTCACTAAAATCAATAAATACATTTAAAAAAATTTTTTAAGTTGATTATGTAATTTAGACCCTGAACAGTAGTACTTAACCTTTTTGGGGTCAATAACCCTTTTAAAAGTGAAGTTCTAAATTATAGGTTAAAGCTTTGAACTCCATCTCCTTAAGAAAAAGAACATACACAAAAAAAGTATTTTTATATAATTGTCTTCGTAGCATTCTTGGATCCACTGGAAGGAAGTCTCTTAAGGTCATTGCTCTCTGATTATTTTTAGTTATAGTATTAACCAAGTACTGTTGGTTATTAACCAAAATATTGTTCTGGTTATTACCTAAGATACTGTTTGGTTAACAGTTAACAGTATTTCTACCCAAGTAATTCTATTTGGGTAGAAATACAAAGAAAAATTTCTCCAAATTACATCAAACACTTTTAAAAAATATTTCTGTTATATGAATATTTTTCAAAATGCTAAGAGTCTTCATTTTTAAATCTTATTTGAAAATTATTTCTTTTATCAATATGAATAGCACCTTTTCCAATTTCATGGGTTTTGTTTTTTTTTTTTTGGTTTTTCAAATTTGGAGGGAACCCTCATTTGCCTAGTACATTTTTGCCCATCCTTTTTTTATTTATCTGTAATTTTGTTTTAGTTATGCCATGTGTAAATGGCAAATATATTTTATAAAGAAATTATTCTCATGATTCAACAAATATTTATTTAAAAATGTCTATTCAGAAAGGTTGTGATAACAGATCTGTTTGGTCTCTCTGGGTTATTTTTTTTTTAATATAAATCTCAAACCATCTTAAAAATCCTTCTCTGGTTCCTCAATGTCTAAGCAATCAAGTCCCTTCTATTTGCATGCTATGAAAGGCTCTTTGTGACTTGTTCTGTTTTCCTTTCAGTCTCATCTTCTTTTATTCCCCAATCTGCTGTCCTATATCCACTTTAGCCCCATCTACATGCAATTCTGCAAACTTACCATGCCTTTCACAAAAATCTGTTCCATGTACTTGGAATTTTTCCCCTTGCTTCTCTTCATCCTTCAGTATTGAGTTCAAAGACCCAGGGCTTTCACTAACACCCCTGTATCACCAACGTGTCTCTCTTCAGACTTCTATTTTTAATAGCTTACAAAATACTACACTTGAATATCTCAGACTTCTCTCTCTATATATGCCGGAAACTGAAAATATCATCTCCCCTAAATCAACTCATCCCCCCTGGGACCCTACTTCAATAAATGGCACTACTACGTAGCCTCTTGCTAATTTGAAATCCAGAGAACCATACTTGGCTCCTACTTCTTAATTTCCAGTATCCTGCTAATTCTATTCATGAACTTCTCTCAAATTCATCCAGTGATCTCCATCCCTATTGTCTCTACCTAGTTAAACCACCAATGTATCTAATTTGGATTATTAAAACCATTTTCTACTTACTTCCCTGTACCTCCAGTCTTAACTCCCCCTGCAATCCATCTTCTACAATGCTCCCAGAATATACTGTCTGACACAATTCTGAACATGTTATTCCCCTCCTTTAAAATTAGGGGAGCCCTGGCAGGGTGGCTCAGTTGGCTGGAGTGTTGTATGGTACATCAAAAGGTTGCGGGTTTGATTCCCAGTCAGGGGATATATGGCAGGCAACCAATTGATGTTTCTCCCCCTCCTCCACTTCCTCTATCTCTAACATCAATAAACATATCCACAGGTAAGAATTAAAACAACAGCGACAACAACAACAACTTCAATGGGTAAGTACAGGGACAGATAACTCTGAAGACACAAGAACTCTCTACACTATGTCCTTAAGATAAATGCCAAACTCCTCATTGGGCCTTATGAAGTACTGCAAGCATAATCCTCCCAGCACCATTTCCTGTCACTTGTCTACCACATCCCAGGCATGTTCAACTTTGCAGTTCTGCTACTGTTCAGTGTTCTTTGCACATGTTGCTCCCTCTGCCTATAATACTCGTCTTTCTACCTAGCTAACTTCTATTCATTCTTCAGAACTCAACCAAGATACCACTTCTGTTTCAAATGGTTCTCTAAATCCTAAAGACAGGGGTCAGGTGTTCCTCCTATGTGACTCAACCGCACACCTCTCAGATTCTACTGCATTAGGGCAAACAAGGTTAACTGCTTGTTTATGTATATACTTCCCCCACTAGTGTGTAAACTCCAAATATGGCAGTGACAATGCCTTTCTTCTTCCTATTGAAATCTTTAGGCAAAACATATACAAAAAAAAAAAAAAACAACTGGGCCAGACTCAGGATAGGAAGTGAAAATTGGTGGAAGAAATATCAATAATTTAAGATATGCAGGTAACACCATCTTACTGGCAGAAAGTAACAATGATTTGAAACAACTTCTCATGAAAGTGAAATAAGAAAGTGCCAAAGGAGGTCTGTACTTGAACATCAAGACAAAAATCAAGACAGAAGAAGAAATATACAACTTTAACATTGACAATGAAGATACTAAAATATTAACGATTTTGCTTACATTGCTTCAGTTATCAATTCAAATGGAGAATGCAGCCAAGAACCAAAAAGAAGGCTGAGACTCAGAAGGGCAGAAATGGAAGAATTAGGAAAGATCACGAGGAGCAAACATGTGTCATCAGAGAACACCCACATCCTCGTACTTCCAACTACTATGTACAGATGTGAATGCTGGACAGTGAAGAAGGGTGATAAGGAAAAAAATCGATTCACATGAAATATGGTGTTAGAGGAAAGCTCTAAGGACCCTGGACCACCAGAAAAATGAACAAATGGGTTCTGGAGCAAATTAAGACTGAAACATCGCTGGAGGCAGAAATGACAAAACTGAAGCTGTCCTACTTTGGGCATATTGGGAGAAAGCAGGGTTCTTTGGAAAAGACAATACTTCTGGGAAAAATAGAAGGCAGCAGGAAAAGAGGGAAACCAAATATGAGATGGACTAAGTCCATAAAAGAGGCCATAGGAATGAGTCTATGAGGTGAGCAGGGCTGTTAGGAACAGGACACTGTGGACATCACTCATTCACAGGGTCACCAGGAGTGGGAGCCAATTCAGTGACAAGTAACACATACCTAACATGTCTTTCTTGTTATAATGGCTTTCCTAGAACTTAGCACAAAATGGTTAATCAATAAATATTAAGTAGTATACACACTCATAACTGGGACTGTGCTCAACTTTTCACTGAATGAAGTAGATAAACGAGCGTAAAACCATAGTTCTGGGGCATCTGATCTTACCTTTTGGGGATGGAGGTAATGTCACAGATCACTTTGAGAATCCTATGAAAACTAAGGATTATTTCCCAGAAAAATGAATGTATATGTATTTTGAAAACACTTTTCAAAATGTATTTTGAAAACACTTACAGATCATATAAGATTTCTAAGGTATCTTGGTCCTCAGGTTAAGTCCTGCCCTAGGACCTCTATTTCTAAAGTCATAAGAAGACTGCTAGGAGGAAGAAGTCAGCCCTATTATTCTACTATCACTTACCTTCCCTCTTCTCTACAAATCCTAAATCAGCGCACTTTTCCCTAGGCAAGCTTGGAATTTCCACCCTCTCTGTAACTACTAGAGTTTAGGAATGCAATCAAACATTTCCTTCTCAAGAGTATAACGCACACATCTGTCATTCCATTATCATGTCAACCATTTCCTGAAGCATTCATACTATTAATTTTTTAAAAAATCAACTTTTTAACTTACTATAGTACCATCCTAAGTAGTAGAATCTGTGAAATCACAGCTTTAGTGTCATAGTTATTATTTTCCTACAGCAAAATAACACTTGAAAAAAGGACTTTAGACCCTCACCAGCCACCAAGTTTTTGAGCACAATTCTAAGGTCTCTACCATTGTTCTGGGATCTCTGCTGGGTAAGAAATAATTTGGACACTGAGAAGTTTTTTCTATTCTTTGAAGCTGGAGGAAACTTAAAACGTTTGGTTCAATCCTCTCATTTTATAGATTAAAACATTGAAACCCAGAGCCCTGGCCAGGTTGCCCAGTTGATTGAAGCATCATCCCACACACCAAAAGGTTGAGGGTTTGATCCCTGGTTGGGGTACATATGGGATGTAGCTAATTGATGTTTCTCTTCCACATCAATATTTCTCTTCCTTTTTTTCTCTATACAAAATAATTAAAAAAAAAAAACAAAAACATATCCTCAGGTGAGGATTAAAAAATGATCTAACAGAAAGAAACCCAAAGAGGGTGACTTGTCCAAGGTCAGATGAGAGGTTTAATGAAATGTCTAGGATTAGCATTCAGGTCTACAATCAGCCCAGTACATTTTCCACTACACTGTATCCATTCAGATTACACTAGAATAATACAGTATCAAGAGTTCTTCATCTGTTACCTACCTCACTCTTCCATTCAGATTTATCTGAACATGTTGTTTAAAATCTGGATATTTGGATGCCAGATATGCAAAATCAGGAGGTTTGTCCTTGTATCTATTTCTTGCATGCATTGATTTACTCAGAGCCATCTTTAAAAAAGAAAAAAAAGGGGGGGGAATCAGCATATTTGTTTTAAAAAAATCTTAATGAGGAAAAACTGTGGTTGCCAAGTCAACAGTTTCAGCCATCACATCCCTGCCAATCAAGTGAGAAAGTAGATGTTATATTTTTAAATATACACAACAAATAAGAATATGAAAAGAAGCTCAACATCGTCTGTCATTAGAAAAATGCAAATCAAAACCACAATAAGATATCACTTCTATTCATTAGGATGGCTATTATTAAAAAATTTTTTAGAGGAAAATAACAAATGTTAGAAAGGATACGTAGCAATTAGAGTCCTCATGTATTGCAGGTGGAAAATGAAATAGTACAACTGCCATGGAAAATGGTTTGGTGACTCTTTAAAAAGTTAAAACAGAATCACCATATGATCCAGTATTTCCATTCCAAAGTACAAGCAAAAGAACTGAACTCAGGGATTCAAAGATATATTTGCCTACCAATGTTCCTAGCATCATTATTCACAATAGCCAAAAAAAAATGGAAACACCACCAAGTATCCACAAACTGATGAATGATAAACAGAATGTGATATATACATACAATAAAATATTACTTGACCACAGAAAGGAACGAAATTCTGATACATGCTGTAACATGGACAAACCTTAAAAACATTATGTTAAAGAAAATAAAGCCCTGGCTGGCGTAGCTCAATGGATTGAGCGCAGGCTGTGAACCAAAATGTCACAGGTTCGATTCCCAGCTAGGGTACATGCCTGGGTTGCAGGCCATAACCCCCAGCAACCGCACATGGATGTTTCTCTCTCTCTCTCTCCCTCTCTTCCCTCTCTAAAAATAAATAAATAAAATCTTAAAAAAAAAAAAAAAAAGGAAAGAAGCCACTCAAAAGGAATACTGTATTATATTAATATTGTATTATACCACTTATACGAGGTACCAAGACTAGACAAATTCATACAGGTAATGTAGAAGTTACTAAAGATTGGGGGGAGAGAAGAATTATGAGTTATTCTTTAACAGGTACACAGTTTCTATTTAGGATTAAAAAAACCTTCTAGAAAGGGTTAGTGGTAATGATTGCACATTATGAATATACTTAATGACACCAAATGTACACTTACAAATGGTTAAAATGGTCAATTTTATGTTCAATATATTTTGCCACAATAAAAACTTTATACAACATATGTACTTTTTTCTGAACCAAGAAAGAAAATTGGAAACCATTCCTTTAAAAGCATCAAAGTGGCAGAAGGTACTATAACCTAAGCTAGAAATATTATAATCAGAGTTTAGTTTTTACAGTGGCCTTGTATGGATTGAGTATTTTTAGGGTACCAAAGATCACTGAAGTTTCAAAAACTATCTTCTATTCCAGCTTCCTTTATAAATTTGTCTTGTCATTCCTAGGGAGCTAAAACCAAATGAAAACAAATATAATTTTGTCTCCTACCAGATTATAAAGAGGAAAAAAAAGTTAATGCACTTATACCAAGAAATAAAAACTAGAAGACAGGCTACTGTCATGGTTTAGTAAATCTCTAGTAGTTGGTAAATTAAAAATATTTTAGAACCCTGGTCAGTGTGGCTCAGTTGGTTGAGCATCACCCCAAATACCAAAAGTCGCAGGTTCGATTCCTAGTGAGGACACGTTTTGGTTATGGGTTCAGTCCCCAATCGAGCAGCCTACCAAAATGAACCGATTGTTGTTTTTGTCTCACATTGATGTTTCTCTCTCTCTCTCTCTCTCTCTCTCTCTCTCTCTCTCTCTCTCTCTCCCCCTCCTTGCCCCCTCTTTAAACCCTCTATAAAAGCAATTTTAAAAAGTGTTTTCAAGTGAGGATCAAAAAGTAATTTTTTTAGAATACTATATGTATCTGGGTAGTAGATGATTTTTATTTATTTTTTAAAGTATTTTTTTTAAAGATTTATTTATTTTTACAGAGAGGGGAAGGGAAGGTGAAAGAGAGAGAAACAGCAATGCGTGGTTGCCTCCTGCAGGCCCCATGCTGGGGACCTGGCAGGCAACCCAGACATGTGCCCTGACTGGGAATTGAACCTGTGACCCTTTGGTTCACTCAATCCACTGAGCCACACCAGCCAGGGAAGAAGGTGATTTTAATTTTCCTCTTTATTTTATTTTTTGAATTATAAGCATCTCATTTATTTCTTTTTTAAAAAATGTTTTGATTATGCTATTACAGTTGTCCCATTTCTCCCCCTTCACTCCCTTCCACCCTGCATACCCTCTCCCACCACATTTCCCTTTAGTTCATATCCATGTGTCATACCTAAGTTCTTGGCTTCTACATTTCCCATACTATTCTTACCCTTCCCCTGTCTATTTTCTACCTACCATCTATGCCACTTATTCTCTGTACCTTTCCCCCCTCTCTGCTCCTCCCACTCCCCTGTTGATAATTCTCCATGTGATCTCCATTTCTGTGGTTCTGTTCCTGTTCTGGTTGTTTGCTTAGTTTGTTTTTGTTTTAGGTGTGGTTGTTAATTATTGTGAGTTTGCTATCATTTTACTGTACATGTTTTTTATCTCTTTTTCCAAATAAGTCCCTTTAACATTCATATAGTAGGGGCTTGGTGATGAACTCCTTTAACTTGACCTTATCTGAGAAGCACTTTATCTGCCCTTCCATTCTAAATGAAAGCTTTGCTGGATAGAGCAATCTTGGATGTAGGTCCTTGCCTTTCATGACTTGGAGTACTTCTTTCCAGCCCCTTCTTGCCTGTAAAGTCTCTTTTCAGAAATCGGCTAAGAGTCTGATGGGAACTCCTTTGTAGGTAACTCTCTCATTTCGTCTTGCTGCTTTTAAGATTCTCTCCTCTCTAATCTTGGGTAATATAATTACGATGTGCCTTGGTGTGTTCCCCTTGAGTCCAGCTTCTTTGGGACTCTCTGAGCTTCCTGGAAGTCTATTTCCTTTGCCAGAATGAGGAAGTTCTCCTTTATTATTAGTTCAAATAACTTTTCCACTTATTGTTCTTCCTTTTCTTCTGGTACCCCTATAATTCAGATGTTGGAACATTTAAAGATGTCCTGGAGGTTCCTAAGTCTCTCCTCACTTTTTTGAATTATTTCTTCATTCTTTTCTGACTGGATGTATCTTTCTTCTGGTCCACTCCACTGATCTGAGTCCCAGTTTCCTTCCTTTCACTATTGGTTCCCTGTACATTTTCCTTTATTTCACTTAGGATAACCATTTTTCCATTTAATTTGTGACCAAATTCAACCAATTCTGCAAGCATCCTGATTACCAATGTTTTGAACTGTGCATCTGATAGTTTGGCCATCTCGTCATCGCTTAGTTGTATTTTTTCTAGAGCTTTGATCTGTTCTTTCATTTGGGCCTTTTTTTTTTTTTGTCTTGACGTGCCTGTTCTGTAGAGAGGGGCAGAGCCTTAGGTGTTCACCAGGGTGGGGCAACCCAGTTGTTGGGTTGTGAAGCTGTATATGGGGGCAGGGTCTGAGAGGGAACAATGGTGCTTGCTCTGCTCTCTGCTGGATTTCAGTCACTTCCCCCACGCAAATTTGGCCCTTCTGGTGTTAATTCCCATGTGGGTGGGTTTGTGTACGTCCTGAAACCCTGTGGTTTTCTCCAACGAACTCTCCTGTGAGTCTGGGAGTTTCTCCCGGTACCTCAACTCCCACAGGTGTTTTCAATTGGTGTTTTGAGACTTTATTTCCCCTCACTGGGACCCTGGGTTGTGGTGTCTGTCTCGCTCCCCAGTTTCACCAGGTTTATCTGTCAATGTGGGACCGGACTCGCCATGCCCCTCTACAATCCGCCACCTTGCTGGGTCCACCAGCTGCTGCTTTGCTTGCCCAGAGTCCACCCGCTGCCACCTTGCCGGGAGTCCTCTCCGCCTGGAGTCCTCTCCGCTTGGCTCCCCAACTCTGCCCCTCTTACTGCTCTGGATGAATGTGTCTACTTTAACTCCCTGGTTGTCGGACTTCCATACAGTTCAACTTTCTGTCAATACTGGTTGTTTTTTTGTTTCTAAATTGTTGTTATCCTTATTTTGATTATGGGAGAAGGCACAGTGTATCTACCTATGCCTCCATCTTGGCCGGAAGTCTAATTTCTTCTTTATACCATTCTGCATTTTTGACTCTTTTTCATAATGAGCATTCATCTAAACAGTATTACATAAGCCAGAAAACTGGGAATCATCTCATTGCTTTCTCTCTCACAGACCAAGAAATCACGTTGTGGACTTGGTCTGCTGAATACCTCTCAAATCCATGTATCTTTCCCTATGTCCACCATTATGAACCAAACACAAGTTACCCACACTGCTTTAACAGTCTATTAACTGGTTTTCTGAATCCACTTTTATTCTCTCTATTCTTTTTTCAACCTCCACATATACCCAACTGCTCAAAGCCTTACTCTTAGGATAAAATTTTAAAACCTGCCCTGGATGGACAGTTCAGTTGGCTGAAACATCATCATCCCGGCTACACCAAGGTTGTGGGCACATGCAGGAGTCAACCGATGAATGAATGCATGGATAGGTGGAACAGCAAGTCAATGTTTCTCTCTCTCTCTTACAATTAAAAAATTGTAATAAATAAAAATAAATTAAAAATCTTACTATAGCATATGAATAAGGTCCAGCCTGGTGTGGGGTTGCCTACCACTTCACTATTAGCTTGTTACACCCCTGCCTCATTTTTCTGTCCCTCCACTCTGGCAATAAGTTAATACATCACTCCTTTTACCTGCAGCAGTGATTTTCAACATTTTTCATCTCATGCCACACATAAACTAATTCCTAAAATTCTCCAGCACACCAAGAAATATATTTTTTTTCTGCCAATCTGATAAAAAAATAGGTATAATTTTGATTCCCACCAGACAGCCATTGTTGTTGGCTGTTGTCATGTTTTTACTTGACAATCTAAGGGAAAAGAGGCCAGTGCCCTGACTAGTCAGGTACTGCATATTTTAAAAATTTTATTCTTTTTTTCTTAGAGAGAGGGGAATGGAGGCAGAAAGAAAAGGACAGAAACATCAACTGGTTGCCTTTCATACATGCCCAACTGGGGACTGAGCTCACAAACCAGGCACATGGCCCTAAATAGGCGACCTGCCTGGTGTGGGTCAGTTGGCTGGAGTGCCTTCCAGCAAACTGAAAGATTGTGGGTTTGGATTGTGGTTAGGTGACATGCCTGAGTTGCAGGTTTGGTCCCCGTTGGGGTGTGTAGGAGAGGCAAATCAAGGATGTTTCTCTCCCTCTCCCTTCCTCTACTCTCTCTCTAAAATCAATCAGCATGTCCTTGCATGAGGATTAAAAAAAAAAAAACAACATCCCCATCCCAAGCCAAGCTATTTGATCCCTATCTACAACTATTAATAAAAAAAACATTCTTGAGACACACCACTGTGCCTCTTGCATACTGACTGAAAATCACTGGTCTATAATGTTCTCTCCTCCCCTCTTTGCCTGATGAATTCCTACTCATCCTTATTACCACAGCTCGAACATTCTTTGGGAATCTTTCCATCCCTAATCTCCCCAGTTAAGTCCTATCCCCTATTACAAAATTTCCTAGCAACAAGCACTTTTTTTTTTGCAACCTTTGTTAGAAATGTAACTATGCAGCAATAAATGGCACTCTATTTCTGAAGGTTTTTGGACAGCTTTCTATATTGGAAATTTAACAACCATTTTCAAAAATAATTGTCTCCACCTTTCCAAATCATATATCCAACTGCCCACTAGACTTCTCACTTGAACAGCTCAAAAGTATTTCATGCACATGTCCAAAATTAAATAATTTCTACCCACCCCAAAATGGTCCTCATCTATCTTCTCTATTTTACCAAATGACACCACTATCTTTCTTGTGGCTCACAACCCAGAAATCTTCAGCATCTTCTCCACCCCAACTCCCACATTCCAAACACACGATGTCCTGAATATTCTCTATCTGCTAATTATTTCTTGACCCTATCTGTTTCTCACCTTCCACAACACATCTCTAGCCCAGGTCATTATCATCTCTCAATAGCTCCTGCAATCCACTTTTTACACAAAGGACAAGAATTCCCTCCCCCATCCCACACAAATCTATGTATTCTTTGCTAAATCCCTTCAGTGGCTTCCTAAAGCTATTAGGCTGATAAAATCCAAAACTATTACTATTAACAAAGCATACATAATCTGGGCCTTGTCTATCCCTCTAGCCTCCTTTGTTACCAGTTACCCCTTCCAACACTGTACTCCAGACATTGTGGTCTTTTCATTTTTCTTCTTTCATTTACTGACAATTTAAAAGTACATTAAGTTAGATGCATTAAGAACAATACACAGAACTCATAAGGTAAAGCCTGATATTAACTACCCGCTATGACCTGCCCAGTTGGAATTTGTGATCAGACCATCCTGTGTGGTTACTTTTGGTCACTGAGCTTGTCAGGTTTATTATAATACATTGACCTTTTTATGTTCATGTATGCCAGATTCAATTCATTTTCTACATTACTCAACCTTTTTGGTCAGAACAGATACAGAATGAGTCAATAAAGCCACTTCTCTGCTAACCAAGCCCTCCCATAAGCAAGGGGTTCATCAGGTTCCTCAAATGAGTGTCAACTCTTACCTGGCATCAGCATTATGATTTCCTTCTCTCTAACATAATCTACTTTTGTCTTCCTGGCTCATTCTACTCTAGCTGCACTGGCCTCCTTATTTATCAATTCTGGTACATACCTGTCTCAGGACTTTTCTATTTGCTAGTGGTCTGCATGGATTTCTCTTTCCCCAGAAATACATAAATACAAGATTCCCTGGCCTTGTTCAAGTCTTCAAATCAAATGTCACCTTCTCACTGATGTCTTTCCTGAGTACCTCTACTTAAAGTGAACACACTCCTGGTCTCCCTTACTAGCTTCAATCTTCTCCATGAACTTACCCATTTGACATTCCATATATTTTACTTACTTTTTACTTATTGAAAAAATGGCCCTGCCAATAAACTTCATGAGGGAAAACCTCCTGTCTTTCTTGCTCACTGTGATTTCCCAGCACCTAAATTAGGGCCTGGGAGAGTAGGCACTTAGTAAGTACTTGTTGACTGAAAACATGATGTGTAACTATTTTCATTGTCCAGACTACTGAAGAACAGCACCCTCATTCTTGGTAAAAGGTCCCCTACCTCGACTCTCAAAAAGGCTCAGTCCTAGGGTTGGGGCTTTTTCTTCCGGGTTGCCCGAGTCCGCCCAAAAAGCCAAGGAGGTTTCTCTTGACCCTTAAATAATCTTCAACTACCACTTAACGGAGTCTGAATTCCGCTTTCCTAACTCCTAATTCCTTCTTAACAGATTCCTCTCACTTCAACCCCAACCTCCGTTTTTTCCTCGTTGCCTTCCCTCATAAATCCGACTTTTTCTTCTAGTCCCGCCACAGTTGTCCCTCTCTTCCATTCCTTCCACACCCTCATTTTACCCATTCACTCTACGTTCCCACCTTGGTTTCGGATCTCTCTAAACCACCTCAGCCCCCAGGGTCTTCCCTAGTTCAATCTTAGTCTGCATTATATTAGTGAACTCCCCGCCCCCCAACCCCACCCCCAACTGGGTCTCCCTCCCTAGACCCCGAAGCAAGCACCTCACGGGCCCAAAAACCGGGAATGAGAAACCTAGGTGGTACATGGTTGAAGTGAACTCGCAACCGGCATGAAAGATTATAAGTGACTCACCTACGGAGTCCAAATTCCAGCCAAACCACCAAGTTGGAATGGCCCTCTAACACGAGAATCTTAAACCACCCGTACCGCGAAGCTCCTAGAAACGCACAACATACGCTCTTAGCGCGCCGCCATCTTGAGCAGCCATCTAGCCTTGTGATTGGACTGTAAACACCTCGCGCGATCTGTAATAGACTCTGAAGAAAGAAGAAACTGTCGCGAGATCTGGAGTTCTAGGTTTCTTCAGACAGAAAAAGGGGCGTGGTAGCAAACGAAGTCCTTGCGTGAAGGTACCTGCATTAGAATCTGCTAGGTAACTTGTTTTTAACAAACGTAGTTTTTTGAGCTTTTTTTTTTTATTTACAAAATCGCTTTCTCGGCCTCACTACAGACTTACTAAATTAGTCTCTGGGGTTGGTCAGAATATATAAGGGGGAGCGAGGGGCAGGGGAAAATGCTTTTGGATTTGATGGCTGGCAATTAGCGCTTACTGTGCCACAGGCCTCCTGGATATCTCATTTAAACATCACAGATAAACGGTGAGATAAGAAAGAGTAGTCTCGTTTACAGAGGAAGAACTTACAGTCGTTCGTTCAAGATCTTACACCCAGATGACATCAAATCCACGTTCTTTGTATTTCTTCACCTGCCTCTTAAGCTGAAAGCGCTGTTAAATGCGTTTCATTTTTCTTTTCAACACGGTTACATGAATATCTACCCTCTGGCAAATAGAGTGAGCATTAGTTCCCATTTTGCATTTGAGATTAAAATGGTTACTTGCAAAAGGTATACAACTAGTAACAAAACTAGGACTAAAGTCCCTGGATACTCACCTAGTACCGGTTTCCATTAAAAAAAAAAAAAATCTTGCCTAGGTCCATGTAATTAATGTGAAAGCTTTTGGCAAACTATTGCCATAAAACTGAGAATTAGGAAGTAAGGAATGGCGATCTCAGCTTTAATGCAGAACTGAGTGTATCAGTAGTGATCCAAGGAAAGTTAAAGAGGTGTTTTTATTACCTATTATGTAATAAACCACTCCAAAATGTGTAGTTAAAAACATCCTAGTGTGGACTGGGATTGGGACACCCCCACTCCAGGCCATTCTTCTTCGGTACTTGCTGTTGGTAGTAACATTAACTGGGGGCTGGTTCAGCTGGAATGACTGGGTCTCTCTCTTCTGTAGTCTCAAATCCTCTACTTCTCCAAGTGACCTTTCCACATAATTTCTCCAGCAGAGTAGCCAGGCTTCTTACATGGTGGTTCAGGACTCCCAAAAAGGCAAAAGTGGAAGCTGAAAGGCCTTCTCAAGGCTTAGGCTCAGAACTTGTGCTTCCACCATATTCTGTTTGTTAAAGCAAGTCTAAGGACCAGCCCATATTCAAGACGAGGGGGACAATGCCACTTTCCAGTACTAGAAGGTATGGTTCACTGGATTTACCATTGTAGCAAATACCACAAAAAGTTTTCTGTCTTTAGTTGGTAGTGACTTTGGTGCTGGATATTTTTACTATATTTAGTGCTTTCTTCTGGAAAGGTAAAAGAAAATACCTTTTCTGACTAGTAGGGTTGAAAGTAGATTATATTTAAAATGTTGTTGAATTTCTCTGTTAGCTCTAGAGATCCAACTCTCTTGTAGTTCAAACCAGGGAGACCCTCGCTCTGTAGCCAGGGAATTTGGGCTTTAATCTTGTCCCCACTTAACTAACCCTGTGAGTATGGACAGTACATAAACTATTCAAGCCTCAGTTTCTCAATATCACAAAACTGAATAGTAATCTCATAGAGTTGTGAGAATAAGTCAGATAATGCATATAAAATACTTAGCATAGTTTCTGATACACAGTAAGCTACTACTACTACTATTATTATATTACTATCGTTCCTTATAACATTTCTGGTCACTTTTAATTTTAAAAAAATTATTTCATAAAGATAAAACATGTTCATTATAGTAAATTTTTTAAAAAGTTAAATAATACAGGAAAGTGTGAAAAAGAAAGCAAAACTTATCTAAATCACCACCAAAAGCCAATCTCCATTAAATTTTGGTAACCTAATTTCTGAACCTTTATATATTCATAAGGATATTATATAACTAAATAATTTTATACAAATATATATTTTTATACTCAAATATAAATCTTGGAGATTCTCCTACTTCAGTTATATAGTTCTATATAGTTCTTTGTGATGGGTGCATAGCATGATTCCATTGTATGGACACAGCACAATTTTTTCACTAATTTCCCTATGGGTGGACATAAGTTGGTCTGCTCCTAAAATTGTGGTAAAATGATAACTATATCTCCTATAAAAATTTTTACATAAAATGAAAATTGTCTAGAGACTGCATAAAATAGATTAATAAGATATTATCAACATCAGCTTCTTAGGTTTTATCTCCCTGATTTACCCTCATATCACCCAGAATATAATCTGGTAGAAATCTGTCCAACTTCCACACACCAGTAAGGAAAGTATAGGCATCCAATTAGTCAATTACACCTTTACTTTATTCTGCCTCTTTGTAGTAGGAAATTGATTCTGTGCATTCAGTGGGTAATGCTGGTAATTCTGAAATGTTGCATAGCTGGTACCAGAACTGCTTTGAACATCAGCCATTTGCAGGGCTGAAATTAACCCCTGAGGGCATCAGTCTAGACTCCCACTTACAGAAATTAATTACTCAAAGGCCTTGTTACTCTTCCTTGCCACTGTCCTTTGGCCAAGGCCAGCCAGTCAACATCCACAGGGCTCTCTAACTTCTTGTCTTAGAGAGCAATGATTGAGTATCAACACCTTGTAGCCCAGAAGACCCTGTCCTCCTTATATAAATTTATCCAGCTCCCTCTTGGGGACTAATATATTAGAAACCTAATGGCCACCTTAATTAACTCAAAAAAGCTATGTCCTAATCCCAGAATAATGACTTTCTCTGCTTACATGCCCATAACAGAGAACTACTCGAGTTATACTTCACACTTAGTACATGTTTTTTATTCTTATAAAATAATGCTGAATTCTTTCAAGAACTTGGAAAGTAAGTTCAAACTATTAAAAGCTGATGGAAGAACTGGATTCAAGTGTACACCTGACTACCCATAGTCTACACCTGTCCTGTTCCAAGTCCCCAAAACAGAAGATATTACCGTATTTTTTAGACCATAAGATGCATCTAAGTTTTAGAGAAGGAAAATAGGAAAAAAATTTTTGAAGCAAAAAATGTAGTAAAATATTTAATAATATAAATAACATATAACATTTCACCAATGTAAATGTAAACAGAACTCAACAGCAGCATTAACAACCATTATTCCTCCCAAATTTGGTGGGGGGTGCATCTTATAGTCCAAAAAAATGGTAATTAAAAGTAAGTTAATTCCAAATAAGACTAAAAACCCAGAAATAGTGCCATTGACAGACCAGAAAATTTGAAGGTACTCTGAAAAAATAGGATGCAAATAGAAATAACAAGTAAAAAGCCTAGAGGTTTTTAAGTGAACTGCACATGATTTGGAAATTTATCTAAAAAACAAAATGTGCAAGAATAGGTAATAATGTATTTCCACCTGGAAATAATAAAAATTATACCATATGTAAATACCATATAGAAAATAAAGCCATTATAAACACAAAGTTAGCTATAGAAGTACTAGGAGAATTTATTAGAAGAAGCATTTGGAGATTGTTTCTGTACACTTAGAATAGGAAGGCCCTTCTAAAGACACATAACTAAAAAACTACAAAGGAAATGATTGCTAAAGTTGATTATATAAAAGTCTTAAAATATATTTTGGCCAAGTGGCTCAGTTGGTTGGAGCATTGTCCTATACACCAAAAGGTTGAGGGTTCAATCCTTGGTCTGGCCACCTGCAAACCTAGGTTGCAGGTTTGATACCTGGTTGGGGTGAGCACGGGAGGCAATTGATCAATGTTTCTCTCTCATATTGATTCTCTGTCTCTCTCTCTCCCCCCTTCCTCTTCCTTGCTTTCTAAAATCAATAAACATGTTCTCAAGTGAGAATTAAAATTTTAAAAACTTCAATATAAAAAAGATACTACCAATAATAGACAACAAACAGGGAGAAATATTTGCAGTATACATATAACAAACCAACAGTTAATATCCAAGACATGTTCTGAAACAATGACAAATCAATAAGAAAATAATCCAGTGTTAAAATGAGCAATGGATATGAAGAAGAAACTCATAAAAGAGCATGTATAGTTGGCCAGTGAATATATATGAAAAAAAAAGTTCAAACACATAAGTAATCATAGAAAGACATAATAAAGTAACTATAATGAACCATTTTAATACATTATATTAATAAAAATTAAAAATATTGATAATATTCAATGATGGCAAATGTTGGGGTATTGGTTAGCTTTTGCTGTGTACAAACCAAAACTTGGTAGCTTAAAACAACAGACATTAATTATTACTCAAAATTCTGTGTATTAGCTGGGTAGTTACTCTGATCTGGATTTGTTCAGCTGGTCTATGCAGTTTGTTGGAGGCTACACTGGTGCTTGGGTGGTCCAGGATGACCCTACATGTCTGGCAATTGGCAAGCTGCTTGGCCTATGGCAGGGATGTCAAACTCATTTTCACTGGGGGCCACATCAGCCTCACAGTTGCTTTCAAAGGGCTGAATGTAATTTCATCTCTTCTTAACAGTTAAGGAGTAGTTACATTTATACAGTCCTAAAATTATTTCGGCCCTTTAAAGGCAACTGCAAGGCTGATATGGCCCCCAGTGAAAATGAGTTTGACACCCCTGGTCTAGGGTAAGGATCAACAAACTACTTCCAGTAGGCTGAATCTGGACACACCTATTTATTTACATGTTATTTATGGCTGATTTCACAATACAACAGCAGAGTTCACTAGTTGCAAGAAAGACCAGATAGGCCACAAAGCTGAAAATATTTAATATCTAGCCCTTTACAGAGAATGTTTGCCAATCCCTGGTCTAGGGAACCTAAACTGGACATATGTCTCTGCTTCACATTGTTTCTCACCCTCCACTGGGATAGACTGGGTTTATTCACATTGCAGTAACATTCCAAGAAAATGGGAAAGTAAGCTGTAGGATCTCTTAAGGTCTAGGCCAACCTAAGTACAAGGAGTGGAGAAATG